ATAGAGAAATCAACTGTTAATGTTATTGAGGATCACTTATAAGTGATGAGTTATTTCTTGTATTATCTTTTTAAGTAGCTACTAACTTGTTAGGAGGTAAGTGAAACTCTTTGTTTTGACCTAACTCTTGAGTAAACAGAACTGTTAGATATGTCACTTGGCCTAGGGCACAGTGAAAAAATAATTTAAAACATTAGGGCAACATGAACTGAGAAAGTTTGGGCATCTCTGGTCACACCCATCCATGCTACAATACCTGTTGATCTTTCCAGCTATATCTGCATAACTCTTACCATGTATCTTTTGTCACAAACTGGTTTGTGCTTAGTGCCTTACCTACCCCATTCAAATGTTGTGGGCTTGGTGGCTCAGCCTATAATCCCAGCACTTTGGGAGGCAGAGGCAGGTGGATTGCCTGAGCCCATGGGTTCAAGACCCACCTGGACAATTTGGCGACCTCATCTCTACAATAAATAAAAAATTAACTGGGCGTGGTAGCACGCACCTGTAGTTCCGGCTACTTGGAAGGCTGAGGCAGAAGGATCACCAGAGCCCAGCAAATCGAGGCTGTGGTGGCCAGGAGCGTGCCACTGCACTCCAGTCTGGTGACAGAGTGAGACTCCAACTCAAAAAAAAAAAAAAATGTTGCCTTATTATTCGTCTTCTTGCTATATATATTTTTAAATTAAAACTAGAATTTAGACCTGTACAGAACAAAGACCTTATCGTCTACCTACATACCTAGCACAGGAGGCAGGGGCTGTTAAGTTTTACATCTTTTGGCCTAGTGTTGAACACATTGTTAATACCCAAGAGATTCTGAATGACCCATTGATTAAAGTGTGGTTGTCAAATGATATATGGGAATTAACTTCTTCTAGAAAGGTAATAAAGCTATATTTTAGAAATTCAGATGATATGGCTGAAGACTTTCTTCCTTTTGTATTTTGTTCTCCTCTTCCCCCAGCTATTGAATTTTAATTTCATTTCTTTCTTCCCTTGTTCTTCATTCCTTTACTGGACTTTACTCAAAGTGATGCAGATTACCAATCTAAAAAGAAATATCTTACAATTCTTAAGAATTTTAGTTTTGTTTAGTTTTATTTTTTTGAGCTGTAGTCTCACTCTGTCTCCCAGGCCGGAGTGCAGTGGCACGCTCACAGCCACTGCAGCCTCAACCTGCTGGGCTCAGGCTATTCTTCCGCGTCAGCCTTATAAGTAGCTGGAACTACGGGCATGCACCACCATGCCTGGCTAATTTTTTTTTTTTTTTTTAATTATAGAGATGAGGTCTCACCAAGTTGTCCAGGCTGGTCTTGAACCCGTGGACTCAGGCAATCCTCTCACCTCAGCCTCCCAAAGTGTTGGGATTATAGGCGTGAACCATGTATCTGGTGTAAGAATTTTAGGTTTTTTAAAAAATGTTTTTAAGCTCTTCCTGAACCATAAACTAAATATGAAGTATTCAGGAAGAGCAACAGTACTGATATTAATCAAGGATTAGACATGCTGAAAGATGAACTTGAATGAATAGTAAGAGCATTTCCGGTTCTGAATTTTTCACTGCATGCTATTTGTGGTTGTGTGATTATAATACTGAAATTTGCAAATTTGTTGCTACTTTGATATAAGGTATAATTGATTTTTTTGCTCCACATTTTGAGAAATTCAGTAGTTTTTATAAGAAGATATTTCTTCAAAATTAAAAAGTTACTCAATTATACTAAAATGAAATACTGAATTAGCAAAATAGCAAAAAGTTTTTCCAGACCATTGAAATAATTTTTTTAAAAAATCATTTACTTGTTCTAATATAATTCATAGCTACTGCTTATGAATACAAATGTTTACTTCTTGGATTCGTTTGTTTTACATTTTTCATATTGTGGATTATGAAGGTAAAGAATGCAGTTTTAAGATACATGTGGTTATAAGCAATTGCAATTGTGTCACCTCATAAAAGAAAGAAACTTTTGGATGTTTAATAAAGATCTTAACTCCCTCTAGATTTTTTTTTTCCTAAATGAAAGCAGGTGTTGGGCAATGTCATGTTCTGATATATTGAAATTACTAAAATATTTAATAAGCTACCATGGCTTGAAGTAGTAGCCAGATGTTTTCAGTTTCCCCAGGATGACTTTTACAGCTGAGCATTTACAGTGGAAATGAGCTAAATTTGCCAGTTTAGCAACAACAAAAAAGCAAATAAAAAACAAACACAACACATTTTTTGAATTAAAATAAAGATGACATCCATTATATTTAATCTCTTATCACTTTCCAGTAAAATAAGATTTCCACAGCCTAAAAAAACAAGATCCATCTCCTGCCTTTAATAGTTTTATTGAGGCTTAATTTAATACTGTAGAATTAGATCTGGTGCGGTGGCTCATGCCTATAATTCCAGCACTTTGGGAGCCCAAGGTGAGAGAATTGCCTGAGCCCTTAGGTTTGAGACCAGGACAACTTGACCTCATTTCTACAATAGATCAAAAAATTAGCTGGACGTGGTGGCATGTCCCTGTAGTTCCAGCTCCTTGGAAGGCTGAGGTAGAAGGATTGCCTGAGCCCAACAGGTTGAGACTGGTGACTGTGAGCCCTCCAGCCTGGGTGACGGAGTGAGACTCCAATTCAAAACAAGAAAAAGACTGTAGAATTTGCCCATTTTAAGTATGTATACAGTTTTATGATTTTTTTAGTAAATATATATGTTTGTGGCTCCATCATCAGTATTCAGTTGTTAGAGCAGCTTTGTTGAGGTATAACTGACATATAATAAACTATACGCATTTAAAGAGCACAAGCTTCCTTTCATTGTTTTCCACGAGAAGTCTGCTACCATCCTAATCCTTGTTTCTCTCTACATAGTGTGTTTTTTTCTTGCTGCTCTTAATGTTTTCTATTTATTACTCATTCTGAGACGCTGAATTATGATGTGCTTTAGTGTGGTTTGCTTTTGTTTATTTTGCTGTTTATTGAATTTTGAATAGGGTTTATATGTTTCATCAGATTTGGAGAATTTGTATCCCTTTTTATTTTCCAAATGTATTTTCTTTCCCCTGTTCTCTCTGCTCTTTATCAGGAACTTTAATTACACATATATTAGGCCACTTGAAGTTAAACTCAAAGTTCACATATGCACTATTCTTTTTTTTTACTCTCAGATTTTTCTGTCTTCTATTTTTTATCATTTTTATGGGTAAGTCTTCTAGCTCACTAACCTTTTCTTTTGCCGTGTTTAATCTGCCACCAATCCTATCCGGTGTATTTAAAAAACAAAAAAAAACTTAGACACTGCATTTTTTTTTAATCTTTAGAAATTCGATTTGAGTCTTTATTTCTTTCATATATCTAGTCAACATTACATAAACTTAAGCCCCTAAATTTTTGGTAATTTGTAATGCAGCAACAGAAAACAAATATACCTGGTAACTTTGATTAGATGGCAGATGTGAATTTTATCTTGTTGGGTGCTAGCTATTTTTGTATTCTATAAATATTCTCGAGCTTTATTCCAGGTCGTAGTTACTTGGAACCAATTTAATATTTTGAGCACTGCTTTTAAGACTCATTATGTGGGACAAGAGCATCATATTCCTACTGCTAGGGAAGGACTCTTCTGGGTATTTTCTCCAGTGCCCCATGAATTGAGATTTTCAAACTGGTTAGTAGCAACAGATGCTGGTATTACCTATGTGCACTGAGTATTGTTCCTTCTAAACTTTTCAAGTAGTGCTATCTCCTACCCTTAGATATTGTCTTCATAGGCCAGGTGCTGATTATTAAATGTGTTATGGGGTAAACCCTCAGATGATCTCAGGAGTTTTCTCTTTGACAAGCTCTCTCCTTTCCATTACTCTCTCTGCCCTGTGAAGTCTAGCTGCCTTGGTTTCCTTGTACTCTCTTTTCTGTCTGTTCACCTTGGCTCTACCTGAGTTCCCTCCCTGCACTGTGTTCTAAAAATTTTTAAGACAGTAAGTTGGAGCAATTCTGGGGCTCATCATTTGTTTGCCATCTCTCAGGGATCACTGTTCTTTGTTGCTTAATGAAGCGTTTTTAACACTGTTTTCATGTGTGTTGTCTGATTTTTTTTCATTATTTGAATTAGGATGCTTGTAAACTACTACTTGATTAGAAATAGAAGTGCTTTCGTTATTTTTCAATAATTGAAATATTTAAGTAAAATTAAATTTTAATTATTCAAATTTAGTGAGACAACTTTTACCAGGAAATATTCCTCCTAAAATTGTTATGCTATATGCAATATCTAAAATTTTAATACTGAAGCACCACTTTTAATTCTTGTATACTAAGTCGAGCTCAAATGATGGCAAAGCTGTATCTCCAGATGGCCTAGCTCATAGTTTTTCATTTTCATTTTGAACACCTTCAGTGTTTGTTTGCCTAAAGAAATTGCAGTTATTTCACAATTAATTAAGGCCCATAATTATTTGACTAACTTAACTACCAGAATGGAAAGATAATGTCATTTTACATTTCAAATAGAACAGGAATCCATTTATTTACATACCAGAAAACCCTGTAAGTTCGATTTGATGTTAACTACATAGCTGTTAAACACAGTTATTATTCACATAGACTTTCATGTTTCTAATTTGTGTATGCTACTTTAATGGTATATTATTTAGCTTCATGTTCTCTCCCACATTTTCTATCCACATAATTCTATATTTTTTCCATTAAATAATAGAAATGAGTATGCAGATACACAAGAAGTTTATATAACTTGTTTTATACCTTACAGACAGCTTTTGGGAGATGCTGTTCTTTCCTATAAAATTTCTTATAGTTGTCTTAATTGGGAGTTTTTAATTTTTCAAATTAAGAAAGGAAAGATGATGGTTACCTTATAGGTCCTCTGGGAGAATAGTTTTTGTTATTTTAGCAGATCTTTTTCTTATTTTTATTTCTGAATAGATAAGAGAGACATAGTTCTATGTATTTAGGATTAATTTCTTATTTGATGTTTATGCTAACAGGTACTTTGGAAGTTCGTCTTATGGGCTGCCAAGATATCCTAGAGAATGTCCCTGGACGGTCAAAAGCAACATCGGTTGCACTACCTGGTTGGAGTCCAAGTGAAACCAGATCATCTTTCATGAGCAGAACGAGTAAAAGTAAAAGCGGAAGTAGTCGAAATCTTCTAAAAACCGATGACTTGTCCAGTTCAGTAACTGCATTTTTACAAATCATATAACAAAGGGCCTGTAGAAGGGACTTACCAGTGGGGATACAAAAGAATGGGAAGTGTTCAAGTTGGACAAAAAACTTTAAAATTATGATTTTTGTAATGGAATTCTATAATATTAAATCGTGTGATAGCCGGGCATGGTAGCTCACACCTGTAATCCCAGCACTTTGGGAGGCCAAGGCAAGAGGATCACTTGAATCCAGGAGTTTGAGACCAGCCTGGGCACCATAGCAAGACCTCATGTCTACAAAAAAATAAAAAAATTAGCTGGGCATCATGGCACATGCCTGTAGTCTCAGCTACTTCAGAGGCTAAGGTGAGAGGATCACTTGAGCCCGGGAGGTTGAGGCTGGATTGAGCCGTGATTGTCCCACTGCACTCCTACCTGGGTGACAGAATGACATCCCAACTCAAAAAAAAAGCCTGTAATGACAGGTAACAAAAAGACAACAAATTCTACTTTGTTGAAGATATATTAGAAAACTAAATGACAAATAATATTAATTATTTTGATTCAAATGTTGAGCAGCACTCTTTATGCCAACCTGAAGATGTACAGAAGCTATGAGATTGTCCGTCTCGTAGAATCACATCTTGATTCTTTTAATGGTTTATGATACTTTTAAAGTAACTCTGAAATTTTGAAAACTAACCAGTGGTCTAGTCATGTTTACTGAAATAGCTCAGTGTTAATTGATATGTTAAGGGTGGGGAGTTTGGGGAGAGTTAAATGCAAGAGGTTTAGGAAGCACTTAGAAGACATGTAAGTACAAACTGTATATAAATGTTTAACTGGGGGAAACAGACATGTGACCGTTCAACCTAGTATAGAGTACAAAGGTGAATTTGCCTGGACTTTTCTATGTATAGAGAGGGACTTTAGGATAAATGTAAAAATACAGAATTGTTTAAGGCAGCAAGCTCTATAAATAGCAAATTTAGAAAAGGAAAAACTAGGTGATTGATACTGATACACAAACATACATACAGTGTGACAAACAACTACTGTTCACTTGTTAGTCCTTTCAGTCACATTTTAATATAAACAAAATAGATAACATGTATTATTTGTGTTTTTATCAAATACAGTAATTTGGGAGGGTCTAATGGAAGTATGTATATATTATATATTATATATAACTAATGAATATATGTTACATATAAATATAAATAGCAATTTAAGATTTTAAAGTTTCAATATTATGAAAAACATTATTTTCAAAGGGCCTGAAGACTTTTGTTGCATTAATATTAAACAGTGGTATTGAAGGTTTAAAGTTTTTAAGCAAGTTTACAAATTTTAATTACAGATGATGTCTGTGCTGTTTTGAAGCTAGATAATACTGTAGTTGGTCAAACTAGCTGGAAACCCATTTCCAATCAGTCGTGGGACCAGAAGTTTACACTGGAGCTAGACAGGGTAAGATGAGAACGTTTTTACTGAAACTTTTATTACATATTTAAATTATTTTGAATATGCTTTACTTTTTTAGAATGTGTTGTTTTATTCTTAACAAATAAAATAATAGTTCAAGTTTTCTTGACATTTCTTATCCAATGAGTTATACATAAATCTACCTTAAGATGTAGTTGAATATCAAATTGCTGCAGGAACTTTCATTTGTGTAGTGATTTGAAATTGTAAAATTTGTATTGACCCTGAAAGGTCAGCAAACAGGTGAGATACAATATTGAAATACATTTGTTATTTTAAAAACACTCTGTCTAACCACTAAGGTGATTCTTCTGACTCACCATTTGTAGGCTATCTTATAAGAGCTGCATTTGAAATAAGCTATTATGCTCAGTTGCCCAGCCTTCCATGTATCTCAATGTCTTTCAGGAATGAGATAAATAGCTAGAATTCAATCTGTGACCATAGAACCCAATATAAATGAACTAGGTCCATGGAATTAAACCCATGGTGATAACTTTACTTTGGATTCAAATCCATTTATTGGGTTATGAGAGAAAATATTAAAACTTAATTATATTTGATCTAAAAAAATAAGGACTATATTAATCTTTTATTATTTACTATTCAGGTTGATGGTACATTTATCATTTTTAAAATTACTTATTAGTAAAAGCAGATTGACGAAGATGTGATCTGCAAAAATATTTTGGCAATTACTGTTCTAATCTCTACTTTTAAAATGGTGTTTTCAATTTGTCTTTTCTGTCTCCATGGCCAGCAACCTAGTTCAGCACGCTTGTCGTTTTTCTTGGTTCAGATACTGTATCTGCCACATAATGTATGTACTTGAACAAAATTCCTAGTTTTCTCTAACTTTTTTGTCTTTAATTCTGTCTACCTCACTGAGATGTATGAGGATTCAGTTTATGTAAAAATCTTAGAATAATGGTAAAAACTTGATTAATATCAGCTGTTTTTTTTTCCTAAAGTAATCTAACTAATCTCCATGTGTGTAAGTACAAGATTGATGTTCAAATAGCACTTTCATCCTGGCATTCATTCTCAGAATTAGGGTAATTTATTTGTTAAACCATTCATTCATCTAATCAACAAATATTCATTGGTACCTACTGCATATTCCAGTACTTCCAGGTGACAGATTAGAAATGAACAATATAAAAAGGTCTCTCAGGTTCTCTCAAGGAATTTACACTTCATTGGCTTTTCATTATATATCCGATTAGTTGCCGACTTTTTACCATCACGTCAAAATGATTTGTAAAAGTCTGCCACCTCATTTTCCAGAGTGTAAAGTGGGGGTAAGAATGTAATAATTACAGGACTATTAGGAAGAAAAAATGAGGTAGTGTACATAAAATGCCTTGTGTTGCCTGGTACTTTTTAGCCATTCTGATAGTCTTTCTTTAGCCCTGGACTTTGAAGTATGGCTATGAATTTGAATATAATGAAAGGGCATTTTGGGTAATGGAGAACTAATTGGTTGAATGTCATTTTCTTTCATTGCAGAGCCTACTTCAGGTAATTATCGAGCAATGTGATAAAAAATGAAACTTAAAGAATTATTGTTATAAGGGAAATGACTGGTCAGAAGATTTCTCTTATAGTGAGGTTATTGTTGTAGAGTTTTATATTTAAAAGAAATTAAAAGTAATTTAGAGTCTTGCCATCATTTTATAGTTGAGGAAACTGAGATCCAGGATAGTTACATTTTAATAACTTTTAGAACTGTTGCTGGACCTTCAGTGTGCTAACTTTTAAATGGATGCTCTTTTCTCTATGTGCTTTGAGTTAGATAGATAACAGCAGCACTGAGGAGGAAACAGCAGAAGATTATGAGTACCTAGAAAAGAGAAATTGTTTAAAATCACCTAAGCTATATGTTTAGGACATTAGAAACACTATGGTAACTGTTGATTGGTTGTTCTTGACTTGAATTTGCAGTTTTCACCTATAAATGTTTTCCTTCTCTGACATCAGGCCTTCTTCCAAATCCTCCCTCTGAAACTGGAGATACCGCATGCTGAGCAGAATTCCCGGTTCTCTGATATGATATGCATATTCCTTGTCCCTAATTAGATCATACACTTTCCCTTGCTTGGCAGAGACTACATTCCCTATTAAAATAACTTCTTCTGTTTGCATATTATATTTTACATTTTCATGTGTTTTTTGCTGTTATAGTTTATCCATTATATTTATAGAATATCTATTTCTAGTAAATGTTTATAAAAACATTGAGAGAAAATGTTACTGTAGATTGACATGTTCATTTCCAGCATCTTGCCTCATATGTTAACTTTCTCTTCGGTGGCATTATGGAGCTAAGTTGACTATACTACTTTTATCCTTTTCAAGAAATAAAAATTCATAGGTCTTTTTGGAGCTGTAAGAAACAACCTAGATAGAAGAGCTCAAATTGTGCTCTGGGAGCTTTAGTGTTTGCAGGATTGGCTCAGGAGGCAGCACAGAGTCTCTTCTTATTTTGTTTTGGGATTCTATGCAAGACATCATTTAAATTTTGCCACTTAAAAAAAGTTTTTAAATTGCTGATATAATTCATCTCCTTCATTTTACAAATTAAGGAAATTATGGCCTGGAGACTAAATAACTAGCCTAGGGTATAATCCAGGATTCTTAATAAAGTCTACTGACTACTAGCTCTGGGCTGTTTCTATTCTGTCAGGTTATTTTTTAAACATTTTTAAATAAAATTTATTATTTATTAATGTTTATTAAAACACTGTTGCAGGGCAGTTTCTCATGTTCCCTGAATTCCTTCAGCCTTCCTATTATACAAAGCTTAATCAAACTCCCATGAGAGATCGAAAGAAAAGGCAAAATGGTGCACTGCGCAAGTATATCTCTTTCTCTTGAATGTTTTTTTTTTAAATAACCTTACTTACATAGTAGAGAAAAATATCAATATATTAGAAGCAGAGAAGGGTCCCTTCCTTAGAACTTTAGAACAATTTTAGCAAGCATCAGTGCTATTAAGAACAAAGTTATAGAAAATGTTGACTGGTCGTTGGGAAAGGAAGAAAAAGAGGGAACCAGGGAGTTAGGCAAACAAACAGGTGGTAGGATTAATGGATTGGGACTGACAGTGAGATTATAGTATCAGTGGATGTTGAGATATGAAAGAGAGCTAGAATGTTAGAAGCTGATGGTCAGAGAGAGAGAGATGCAGAAAGTTGAGGTTGTGAAAAGACTACTTATCGTTATTGATACAATAGTATGATGACAGCAATGAGAGACTGAGGTAGGCTGGACGACACGATTATGTGAGAAGAACACTTTATTTATTGATTTCTAATTTTCAGAAATTGTCTTCTTCACACAAAGAAGGTTAATGCCAGGCATGGTGGCTTACACCTGTAATTCCAGCACTTCGGAAGACTCAGGTGGGAGCATCACTTGAAGCCAGGAGTTCAAGACCAGCCCAAGCCACAATACTGAGACCCTGTCTCTACAAAAATAAATTAGCTGGGCATGGTGGCACCAGCCTGTAGCCCCTGCTACTGTGTAGGCTGAAGAAGGAGTATTGCTTGAGCTTAGAAGTTCGAGGCTGCAATACCATTGCACTGTAGCCTGGGCAACAGAGACAGACCCTGTTTCTAAAAATGTACTCATAAATAAATAAGAAGGGTGGAATTTAATTCTCTTAGGCCACCACGTTTGTATCCTCATTCTCCCACATAATTAGGTTAAATCAGTAATTTGGTGTTCATTATAGTGTCTATATAAATATTGTCTACAGATGAACCATGTTCTATGCCATGATTACATTTCTGTTTTAGTACTTTTCCCCACTGCAGGCTAACAAATGCCTCTTTGTTTTATTTTGCTTTGTTTAGTTTTCTTCATGCCTATCATTTATTCCCAAAATTTCCAGAAGGACTCTGAAACACCTCTATATAGGCAAATATGTCTAGTAATCTCTTAGTCCCTCCTTCCTTCCCCATTGGAAACATCCTTTCTGGAACCTTATATCTTTCTTCTATTTATTTATTTATTTAACTTTTTGTAAGCTTTTTTCTTTTCAATGCCAACTTTTAAAAGATCACTAAAGTTAACTGGACAATAAACTAGGCAGACATTGCTTTACAAAGAAGAAGGAAAGCCCCAAATACCGCTTTCTATAGAGAACCCGCAGTTGAGTTTTATTCAGAGCAAAGAAAAAAGAAATTTCAATTGTACTAGAAGAAACTGTACTCAAACTACACATGCAATGAGAACAATATTCTGCTAAAACAACTGATTTGTTGCTGCATTTGTCTACTGTTTGTCTAATATTATTAATAGAGCAGTGCAACTAGTATTTGGAACAATCTTTAAAGTATTACAGTGTCAGGCAGAACATTTCACTTCTCTTCACACCACTGTTTCTCTTTGCATGCCTGGGCTTCCTCCTCTTCAGTCAGTCATTTTTCATATTGAGGGTCTTGCAGATTTCCTCAGGAGTTTTCCCCCTTGATCATATTGGCAACGGTCTTGCATGTAACATCAAGCAAACCTTTGATGTCTAAGTCATTGGTAGCCAGAATAAGTTCAAAAACTGCTCCCTTGATGAACTTTCAGGAATTCTTGGTCCCAAATGAGGATATCATCTGTTCACTTTTGTTCTCATCATCCTCAGGAGAAGAAGGGTCATCCTTGTGGTGGGTGTACCACTGAATGACCTTTTTTAAAATTGCTACATTGACATTTGGGAGAGGAACTGAGTCATTATCTCCTGCATCATCTCTTCCCAAATCTGACATGGTCTTGACAGTCACAGATTGTTTGACAATCACCACATCAACTTCAAATATCTCTCCATCAGAACTCTGCAACTTAATTGAAGGCATGGTGCTGGGTCTCAGGGAGATGATGGTGGAGGCTGATGAGAGCTGGACGAAGGACAAGCCATTCTCTGCTCCATTTCAAATAGCTGCTACAAGCCCAGACTGGCCCCCATGAAGAGCCATATTCACTTCTGGTTC